CATAAAAAACAACCTGTCATCCCTACGCTGTTTGACGATTCTAACGACTATAGGGCTTTCGCACATAATTTATTCTGACAGTAAGGTAATAAACGTATTCTCTATATAGTTTAATGATGCACAATCGCTTCCTAATGTCACAATCCAACCTAGTACTCCACCGGAAGAATGACGTAATGACCAGTACGTTTCAGAATAAGCTAATGATACCCTATTGCGCTTCAATACTTACTGTTTCTATTCATTGTTGTTAATTTACCATTGAAAAAGGTAGGGATTATTGGATTTACATGATTGATAAAATGCAAATGATGAAGCCAAGGAGGAAACAGATGATGAAGAGAAATTAAGGGAAAATGTGACAACATAAACCATTCCTTTGGAAATGACGTTTCATCTGTATGGATATATATTACTTTCTCTCATATGCAATGGCATTGGCTAGTGGTATGCTTGCAAAATGGAATATCCCTACTTTTTTTGAATGGTATAGTATAAGTAATTATATTGTACCCTTTCTTACTTCCATTTTTAATGAAATATTTGACAGTGGCAATTTCCCTAAAAGCTGGAGTAAGAGTATAATATGTCCTTTATTTAAATCTGGCTGTAAAGATGACCCTAATAATTATAGAGGCATATCCCTCATTGACTCAGTTTGTAAAATATTTACTTCTATTTTGAATAAACGCCTTCAGAAATGGTGTGATATTAATGAAATTATTAGTGAGTCCCAAGCAGGCTTTAGAGCTAATTATTCTACAACTGATCATATATTTTCCCTCCAGGCTTTAATTCAGAAATATTCTTGTAAAAAGAAGGGTAGGTTTTACTGTCTTTTTATTGATTTTTCCAAAGCCTTTGACACCATTAAGCATGATGTTTTACTTCAGTCCCTCTCTGAAGTTGGTATATATGGTAAAATCTTTAATGTTGTAAAAACAATGTATCAGAATTTATCAGCTTGTGTTAGAACATCAAAAGGTTTGTCGAAATATTTTTCTTGCAATATTGGTACCCGTCAGGGATGTGTTTTAAGCCCTCAACTATTTATTATCTTCATTAACAAGTTATGTACTTTAATGGAATTGGAGGGTGGTTCAGGTGTAACTGTTTCATCAGATTTTAATAATGTATGTTCACTTATGTTTGCTGATGTCTCGGCACTGTCTGATACATGCAACCAATTACAGAAAAAGATTAATGTTCTTGAGAAATTTTGTAAACTCACTGGTATGTCAGTAAATCTTAAAAAAGACTAAGATTCTTGTTTTTAGAAATGGTGGCCCTCTAAGAGATTATGAAAAATGGTATTACAATGGTAAACAAATTGAATGTGTATCCTTTTATAAATATTTAGGACTTGTATTTACACCAAAACTTGTATGGAGTAAAGCACAGACATGTCTTGTTTCTCAGGCCAATAAGGCATTATTTTCTGTAAATAACTTCCAAAGAAAAATGGGTGGTGTCAATTGTAAAGATTTGTTTAAAATATTTGATTGTATGATCTCACCTATATTATGTTATGGAGCTGAAGTTTGGGGCACCAGTTATTTTAAACTCATAGAGTCTGTACAAATTAAATTTTGTAAGTATTTCTTAAAAGTTGGTAAATCAACTTGTAATAATGTGGTACTTGGAGAATGTGGTAGACTCCCTTTACAAATTGTATATATGACTAAGGTTATCAAATATTGGTGTCATTTATTGTACTTACCCCCAAACAGACTCCCAAAACACTGTTACAAAATGCTGAAATCATAAGATGATGTTGGACGTGTAACTTGGGTAACTAATGTTAAACATATTTTATTTACTTATGGTTTTGGCTATGCATGGGTCAGTCAGGATATTGGTAATGTCAAGTATTTTATGTTTCTTTTTAAACAAAGACTGACCGATAATTTGAAGCAATCCTGGTATTCTTCCATTGAAAATTCACATAAAACTGTTTGTTATTGTCAGTATAAGACTCTGTTAGATGTAGAAAAATACTTAAATTGTAATATTTATTTAAATTTGAGATCTGCCCTTTCAAAATTTAGATGCGGAAACTTTAATCTAGCAATAGAGACTGGGAGATATGAAAATATTGCTTCAAATGAAAGATTTTGTTTATTTTGTAAATCCAAAGGTATTAATGTTGTTGAAGATGAGTGGCATATTTTGTATATTTGTGAATGTTTCTCTGATATTCTAGGGAAATATATTGGGAAATATTTAAGTAAGCCGCCGACGATAAACAACTTTATCCATATTATGCAATCTGCAAATGTCGATATGATTAAGAATGTTTCTTTATTCTTATATAATGTACAAATTAGAATGAAGAGCAGAACATTTTTATAAATCATTGTGTACCATTCATGTGATGTGTGATCACGCATTTGACTGTATTATGGGCCAGTGGCCTTTTACTGAATAAAACTGTCTGTCTGTCTGTCTGTCTGAATTGTATAGTAAAACGATTATGAAGAAATCACATAATAAATCACACAAGAAGATTATCTCCCAAAACGCAATCAAACTTTGAGTGAATTTAGTTTCAGGTGGAGAGTAAATTTGTTTTGATAAGAGTGTAGGCAAAATGCGAACATGCCTTATAAACCGCCCCTTGGCATGTAATCTGCGTTATGGTGCTTCTATGACCGAAATTTAAAATCCTTGTGCGTGGAGGTTGAATAGTGCGTCTACCTGATATTACAACTTACCTGATAATACTTTGTCATCGACCTAGTCAATAATTTCCTGTTGAGCTGTAAAACTTTAAGTTCCCTCGGCCGCCAATTTGGTTTGAGAAAGAAGCGACCTCAGTCAGCGATTGGCGCAATTGCTAGTGGCTGGAAGTTGGCGCCCAGTTGTTACGCGAATCGCTGCACATCGTTTGCAAGCGATTGGTAGCTTGCAACGCACCCATAGTGACCCTTGGCTGCCGTCTTGAAACCCGTGACGTCAGAACTGGCGATGTTGACGTCACGCCCACTGTACTTGGTTTTCCAATTTCTAATCGCATATGAAGTGAAAAATATCTCTGGAACTTCATTTTTCCCCCTGTAAATATATATACTATTGAAAAGGAAAGGCATATTCAATTAAATGGTGTCACAGCTGTTGATATTTCATATTCTAAATAAGACAAATAGTTTAACATTGTTTTAACTTGTTCGTTATTAATAAAACAATAAAACATACGAGTGGAATGAAAGATTGGCAACTTTAATACACCAGAGGAGAAACTAATACAAAGCCCTCATGCAGACAAGAATTATTCCTCCAAACATCCTGAAATGTAAAATAACCTGCTATTAACAGAGCATCATGTTCCCATATACATAAATCTGCGTAATTAGCCTTTGCCTCAGAACAGTAATACTACTGGGTGGGTGGGCTGTGGAAAATTATGAGCGCTGTGCCGCCATGGGAGCGGGCGTGCTTACTTGTCTAACGTGCAATGGAAGGGAGATAACTCCAGCTGGACTTATGGCGATAGGAAATCTAAGGGAGGCAACTGTGCAAACATTTACTGCCTCACGTTAAAATATATTTTAAAACATTAAAATAACACTTTAACTTGTTCCTTATTAATATAACAATAAAACATACGAGTGGAATGAAAGATTGGCAACTTCAATACACCAGAGGAGAAACTAATACAAAGCCCTCATGCGGGGGCTTAATACAGACAAGAATTATTCCTCCAGCCCAGTGTTTTAAAGAAATTAATGGTAAGAGTAGAAAACTAGCAATAACATTGCAAAATTAAATAAATTTGGAAAATTAGACACACTGTAGGGCTATACAGGAAACATACATTTTCCATTACAAGCTAGTAGGTAAAGCTGCACCAAACTTGCTCATTGCTTGCATTTTTATATCAATACTCATTTCTAGATACCTACAATAGGCTGAACTTCTTCAGTAACCTATCTCCTGTATAAGCTCACCTGGCAAACCCAGCGCGAATCCCAGGTGGCCCCACCTCTGCGATGAGAATGACCGGACACTTGGTCAAGAATACCTTGGGAAACAAAAACATGTCTAACTATATCAATAAACAAACTGTAAGAAAGAGCAAAACCCTTGTTGTCACACAAAAGTGGCTGAGTAGACCTGTCAGTACAACTAGCATGTAATGCAAGTAGATTTTTCATGGCTGCAGCAGGATTCAAAGGGTGATCACCCAGATCCGGTAAAAACACTTGTAGTACATTTTCCCGAAATTGGAGCGTCTTAGACCACTTTAATGATACAGTAAAGCCCCTATCCTGTCTCTCTACATCTCCAACTGTAATGTGTTTTTTGGGGTCAAAAACACCAACACAAAGAAAATTTCCAGGACGCAACATTCCGAAGAATCCTAGTAAACAGCCTAACCAAACAGATGCCCCTGTACAACAACACATATCCAATCTATCCTTTAGTGTGAACAAGTGGCTAGGCACAATAGGCGTTGCTCCCTGTTGTGCATCACCTAATTCCCGCTTTACACCCTTGAGCAGAAGAGATATTTGCCAATCACTGCCAACAGGATCTGGTAAATTGTTAGCCCGATGCAAAAATGTGATAGCACATCAATACTGCCTTACAGAGGCATATTTTAGGCCCTTAACATCCACCAGATAAGCAATATACAAAGCAATAGAGTCAAATTCCATAGGCACAGGGTTGAGCCCAACGGTTTCACAAAACTGCATAAACACTTTAGCTGACACTTATACGTCCGCTTCGAAGATTCTGCCAATGCCTGTCCTAAGAGTCTTGCCACTATAGACTGTAATCGGTCAGCCAGTAGACCCCCAACTGGAAGAAATAAATTCTCTTGACATATGTCCTAACAGCATATCTTGATCAAAGGTTTGTAATTGTAAGTTACCCATGCTTTCAAATAACTGGGTCAATCTGCCACTTCATGTTGTCTAGATATAACATCTGCTAGCTTATTCTCAACACCTGGTATAAACTCTGCTTTCAGACTAAAGTTTAAGGATACTTTGAGCCAGCATAAATATCTCAACCATTTCATCAGGTAAGGATCGCTACATGAGCCTTTATTAATGAAAGCCTAAGCTGACTGGTTATCAGTCCTAACTACCACAGATTTGTTTGACCAAACAGTACACCATCTTTCTGCGGCTAAAACCACAGATATTGTCTCTTTAATGTTAATATGCATTTCATGAACCTCTGGCAAGTCTGTCTTCTAATTCACATAATAAAAGTCTCCATTAAAGTGACCGCCTGCCCCTTCATTACATGCAAATGTACCAACAGTTCTTAGGGGGCGATCATCCAAGAAAGAGAGCGAGCCATTGAAAGATTTCATGAAATGCAACCACCATGCAATGTCAGCATGAAACTCTGAGTCCAACTTGCACTTTGACGATTCAGACTTCAAGCTATTTTTTAGGTCCAATACACGCCTACAACATGTACGTCCTCCTTGTATCACCATCCTAACCAAGCTTAAACGTCCCACAAGTTTTTCTAACTGGTGCTTACTTGCCCTAGCAAGCTCAGAAAATTGCTCTAACTGACAATGTAGGTCTCGTAGCTTATCACTTGGCAATGCTAAGGTGCAGGTGCATGTATCGATAATGATACCCAAAACATCAATCTCTGTGTAGGCCCTTCCACCTTGTTCCAATCTATCCAGAATCCAAGTTCTCGAACAACATCAACAAGTTTGCTCAAAGCAGCCGCACACACAGCAGATGACTCACAAATCACCAGAAAATCGTCTATGTATGCAATTACAGTGTATCCATACTTAACCTTCATAATACGACACACTGCCGCGCTTAGTGTCTGAAAGATTTTGGGGCTTTGGGGAAGCCCCAAAAAGCAGTTTAGTATCATACATGTAAGTGACACGCTGGTCACCACCGAACCGCCAGCACAGGCCAGTTAATTCAAAGTTACTAGGGTGCAAACTCACTGTGCGATAAGCGCTTTTTAGGTCAAGTTTTGCAAGATAATATCCTGGTTTGATCAACTTCAGAGCATGACGTAGATCCATATATTCCGTTTCACAATTCATCATGAAACTGTTCATCCCCTTGTGAACAGGTACACTCCCATCGTGAATCAACCTTACTGTTCCATTATATTTCAATATCGCCCCAAGAGGACTCACCACACTCGGCTTGACATGTGTGATGACGTAATTACCCAAATTAATCTCTTCCACTATCTGTTTCTCTGTTAAGTCCTTAAGTTCGATTCCCCACATGGGTACAATGTGTGAAGCCCATCTCTGGTGTCCCCGCCGTGATATTGCTGGAATATTGCTAAAGGTGGCCTAAAACTAAATTCACAACTCTGGTACTGAATATAATAATGACGTGTAGTTCCATGAATATATTTATAACTCCAAATGATCCCCTTATTTTAACTCAGTGATAAGAAAATGATACAGAAAATATCAAAATAGTAAAATAATTACGAATTCTTCTTTTCACACGTCCCGCATAATACACGAATTTACTGAACGTACACCATTGTGGAACCCTACACTGCATGACCCCGTCTATGTCTGTGTGGTGACCACCGATTAGTTGGTCAACTACAAACCTCTGTGAGTAACGTAGTTGTGAGGGTGTTAATGGAAAGTCGGAGTATGACGCGTATGTCCGCGAAATGACATCATTGATAACTTTTACCCTTTGGCGATTTATCCCTGTCCCTCTGCTTCGCTTTCTTGCTTAGAGGACTAGCTTTGTCTGAAGGTACTATAGATAGAGATTTTGTGTTTTTGCAGATGTGTAATGTGTAATTAGATGTTTAATTTTGTATACCCTCAGATTCGCTTGGTACAATGTCATACACGCTTGGTAAATATTGATTCTTGCCTTTGTTTTTAATATTAAATGTTATGGTCACTGTCTTTATTTTCAAATCTCCGAGTTTCTGCACACAGTGATTCACAACTGTAGAAAAGTCATCCATTAGGTGCAATATACACACCTAGCCTTGTTATCTATGTCTTAAATTGATCGAAATTATACTTTGTTACATCGAAACACCTGCTTATTTCATATTTTCGATAAACCTTAAGAAAAGGGGTACAGAAAATTCCGATCAATGCATATTCCAAATTTCCGATCACTGATTTCTGTGATCACTGTACTCCCGCGATCACTTCACTGAATATCAATTTAATATTTTGTACAATAACTTCTTCAATTTTCACCTGAATGACTTCCTCTTGTAACAGAAGCTTCTACTGGTGATATGTTTTAACTCAAAATCATGAAAAAATAAAATGACTTTTGTAGTCATATTCAGTAGACTAGTAGCATCCCTGAAATAAGTGATGTGCATGAAATGAATGAGTGAGTTTAGTTTAAATGTTACGCATGTTTAGTTTTACGCCGCACTCAGCAATATTCCAGCTGTATGGCGGCGGTCTGTAAATAATCGAGTCTGGACCAGACAATCCAGTGATCAACAGCATGAGCATCGATCTGCGCAATTGGGAACCGATGACATGTGTCAACCAAGTCAGCGAGCCTGACAACCCGATCCCGTTAGTAGCCTCTTACGACAAGCATAGTCGCCTTTTGTGGCAAGCATGGGTTGCTGAAGACCTTTGTCGGGGAGGTACACAAAGTATGTCATCTAGACTACTAGGAGTGACTACTGAGTGGGAAACAACTATTGCGATAGCGATAGTCTATTGCAACATACTATTGCAATAGTTTTCTTCTCTTTGAATCTGCTAATTTGAAGTCATTTCCCAAATAAATGTATAGTTTATATGAAATGAAAACAAGTTGACGTAATTTCAGTCTCTTTTAATAACTGATAAGAAGCTTAATAACCAGATCAAGTAAACAGTTAAAACATTAACTCAATGAAGCTGCAACTCTGCATCCAAACATTTGCATTTTGCACTGCGAATTTATCAAAGGAAGTCAATTACTAAACTATCCATAGTTACCCATACTATCGATGCATCGACAGTTTTGGGTTTCTACCATCGATTAATTGCTATCGGAGACTACACAATTGCAATCCATCGATAGTTCATGCATCATTTTGTCCGACTTCAATTTTTGTGCAAGCGGCGTTGGCTGAGTGGGTTAGATCGCTGACTTTATGTCTGAGAGTGAAGGTTCGAAGCCCCAGTGGGATTCAACCTAACAAAATGTACTAGAATTTGTACATCACTGAGGAAAGTGTAATCCCGAATATAACATATGCTAAGTTTGACCACTTTCTAAATGGCATTGTGTAATTTTAGATCAACTGTCACGTACGCCTGTGTATATGTCTGGAGGTAAGATCAAGGAACCACTTGTTAAATAGGATCATATGTATCAAATTATTTGACCGGCTGTTATGAAACGCTTTACTCATTAAATCGAACCATCAGACTAATATGCTAAGGAAATGATTCTGATATTTACAGTTTGCACGGGCAACGCTTCCTGCACCAAGCCAATTCTACAGAGTTCCTGCAAGTACCGCTGTCCTGTGTCATACTAACCCTCACCATTAGCGCCAGGTCATTGACATTGCAGTCGAAGCCAGACCAGCACGTTGATCATACGGAGTGTGTCTAACAGGTGTAGATGCATCAACAGAGGCCATTCATCACTGTCCCGAGTCGCTCATTAATTCGATAACTTCATCACTGTAATCTCACATAAGCCATAGAAGGACGAAGGTTTCGATTTTGTGGTTGGTGAAGCTTTGAGTTCCTCACGCCCGCCATTGCTGCTTTCCTTCAAGAACATTAATTGTAGGAAATAGATACCCCACTTTAACAAGGGCGCCAACCTGCGTGAGTCAGGCCTCGTTTCACCTAGCTGAAACAACTTGGTCGTACCACTGCATGTCATGATAATGTAGGGTGGAGACTCGAACAGTATGGGTCATGCACAGGCAAACTGTAATGCAAATAGGGTTGCGCAACAAAGAGAAAATGACCAGTCTTCCCATATGCCAGCGAAGCGAGCAAAGGTTGGCAACGTACTTCCCTCGCTTCGGTTTGAAAAAATATTTTAATATCAAAATGAAATATCGCCACCATCAAAGGTAGACGCCCATTTCCTCACAGGGTTATGCTCTCAGATTTCCAACCTCATATTCAATAATTACTCACGTACAATATATTTAATTCAACATTATAATCGCCACTCGTGGTATGTCAAACCGTTCTTCGTCTCCATTACCCCTGCCGGCTTTCGGTTCAACGGAGTGAATTAACAAGAATAAGCAGAAATTTAAAAAAAATATCATATTGCCCAAATTTTGAATTAAACTGTTGGAGAATATTTTGGAGATCTGCCGTCGTTATTGTTAGAATTTTCGTAACATTTATTCTACAAAAAAACACTCCGCAAGTATTCCATATAGCGGACATGTGATTCAACAGGATTTAACACCCTTGTCCCTGAGAGCACAACCCTGTGTGGAAATGGGCGTCTCCCTTTGATGGTGGCGATATTTCATTTTGATATTAACAATATTTTTCGAACCGAAGCGAGGGAAGTACGTTGCCAACCTTTGCTCGCTTCGCTCGCATATAGGAAAACTGGTCATTTGTTGCGCAACCTATTTGCGCTACAGTTTGCCTGTGGGTCATGTGAACGATGAATTAAAGATCAAGCTGGACATACATAGCCGGTGACTGTGCTAAACTTTAGGTTGTTAAAGTATTCAGATGTATCACGGCGTGTCAGTGTGATGTGAGCATGAAAAAGGTCTTAAACCTTGGCCATTTTGATGCAGCCCACAAAAAGGGAGAGAGTATTCACAAACCGAGTAACATAATCACGGCGAACCGGAAGTCGTATCATAAGGGACGAAACTCTTTGCAGCGAATTGCGCTTCGCAGAACACTTGGCTACCCGTGCTTCTGTGGTGATTTTGAAAACAGTTTGGAAGAAATTACCGAGTAATACTTCCCCCTTGATGCACTTAAATATACCATGTTGACAGGTACTGCCAGTCATTTACTGTTACTGGTGACTATCATGCCCGTGTTTGGCTGAACACTTACTCTTATAGCCTACTAGTAGCGAAGGTAGGGTAGCCTAATGGTTTAAACGTTCGCTTCCCCACACGGGTACAATAAACGAAGCCCAATTCCTGTCCTCAGCAGTCGACATCTCAGGAATATCTCTCAAAGCAGCGTAAAACCTTTGTCACCCATTACTCCCTGCGATTTAAACAAAATTCGAATTTTCAGAGACTTCACGTCTATTGTTCAGTGGTCCGACTCTGCGCTGTTTCTATCTCACTTTCAAACAGGAATGCCCATTAACCCAGTTCCCGCCTGACCTGGACGTGCTGAAGAGTAATTGCACAACGTTTCATCATTCCCATGGGTTGTCCAAATCCGGCCTGATCATCAGCTAGGTATTTCATCAAACGAGTGACACTGAAATGGATCCTTCTACAGAACGAGGGCCTACATTTACAGACGTGACATGATGGAACAACTTGATGCTGATTCTTTCTACTACAGCCATAGTGGGGCGGTGGGGTAGCCTAGTAGTTAAAGCGTTGGCTCGTCACGCCGAAGACCCGGGTTCGAATCCCCACATGGGTACAATGTGTGAAGCCCATTTCTGGTGTCCCCCGCCGTGATGTTACTGGAATATTGCTAAAAGCGGCGTAAAACCAAACTCGATCAGTCAGTCAGTCAGTACAGCCATAGTGAAATATACTAAGGAAAACAAATAAGGTAACACCACTTCATGACATTGTTCCTTTATTTCTTCTGAGATTTCCTCCAACAGCGCTATTCAAAGCTGGTGAGGGAAAACTGAGAAAATATTGAAGGAACGCTTGAATTTTCCAGCGTTCCTTTATTTGTTTCTCTCAGTATGTTATCCTCAAACCATGTCATAAAATTAAACGACTTCGATGAAAAAGAAATCAGTAACCTTTCAGTCACGCAGGACTGAATATTCCCGAAAGGACCTTGTAAAGGAAAATATAAGGCTTTGGTTTGTTCTTGGAAGATGTTAATATTTAACTGGTGGAATATTCATGAAAAAAGGTGTGTGAATGGGCCCAGGTGATAAGCAGTTCGGTTCTGTCACGTGTCAACGTAGTAGTGTGTAGGGTTGGAGAGTATTTCAGGTATATCAGGGCGTGTCATCTTGGTGCCCGAGAGAGCCTTGAGTAAATGAAGTAAACGGTCGATGTTTACCACGTGTGTGAATCCCACAAACTCACCAGAGATCAAAATCGGACGAATCTAAAAGGGAAACCTACGATCGACAACATTTACACGACCAAAGCGCCATGTTTAGAGACAGACTCCAAGGCAAATATATATCTATAAAAAAATCAATATTGGATCTACCCACGTGCTCACGACATGTGCCCATGTCACCATCTCAAAGTATTAAATTTGGTCAGCGTTGTACGCAAAGGCAAGCGCACAGATATAATGTTGGGGTTAGATTTTGAGATAAGCTAAAGCCAATCGCAAATTAGTTAAAGTTGTCCTGAAGCAAAATACTGAATCTAGGTACAACCACACATTAGGACATCACGAGCTTTAACACCATCCCAGAGGTATTTCCCCCTTCAATGGCGTGACAGTAATTCAATTCCCGAGACATTTAGATTCCAGGTAAAGTCATTTAGGTGTGTACACTTTTTTAAACAGTTTCTCCTGTGCTAAACCAGCAGATTGAAGTAGTAATAGCCTTTGTGTGAATGGACTTACGTACACACCTTGTTCTATGTAACTGGAGCGCCAAACGATGTTTCGGGGACACACAACAAAATATTTTCAGAACTTCCAGCATGCGCAGGTACGGAAGCGCTGAAGGGACCACATAAAATAAAAATTATCTTGAGCGCACAAGTTAATATCTTGAGCGCTCAAGTTAGTTATCTTGAGCGCACAAGTTAGTATCTTGAGCGCTCAAGTTAATATCTTGAGCGTACAAGTTAGTTATCTTGAGCGCACAAGTTAGTATCTTGAGCGCACAAGTTAATATCTTGAGCGCTCAAGTTAATATCTTGAGCGTACAAGTTAGTTATCTTGAGCGCACAAGTTAGTATCTTGAGCGCACAAGTTAATATCTTGAGCGCTCAAGTTAGTATCTTGAGCGCTCAAGTTAATATCTTGAGCGCACAAGTTAATTATCTTGAGCGCACAAGTTAGTATCTTGAGCGCACAAGTTAATATCTTGAGCGCACAAGTTAATATCTTGAGCGCACAAGTTAGTGTCTTGAGCGCACAAGTTAGTATCTTGAGCGCACAAGTTAATATCTTGAGCGCTCAAGTTAATATCTTGAGCGCACAAGTTAGTATCTTGAGCGCACAAGTTAACATCTTGAGCGCACAAGTTAGTATCTTGAGCGCACAACTCCGTGTTTAGCATCTAATGGCATTAATGGAACGCACATTTGCATGACTGCTGGCTAAAATGTACAAACTTATATCCTTTTTGGAAGATTTCAAACGATGCAAAGTCGGAGTTAACTATAGGTGTTTATGATGAGACAATGTAAAAGTATGCAAATGTATCATGAACATTGATAATGTTTATCATGTAAACGTTCATCGTCTTTATGCTTGTCAATACTATTCTTTGTATCTGATTTTACCACTTTTTGCTTTATTACATAAAGCAGGCCTAGAATTAAGACATAAACATGAGTAGGAGTTTATTGCAGGGATGAATAGTGGTTTTACTTACTTCTTATATTGGCACATAAAATTATGAACACTTGGATAACTTGTTTTTTGCTACGGCTTTATTATGTATAAATAGTATTACATGACCATGAAAAATGTAAACATTGAGTGTTATACTTAATAATATTAATTATAAAACTAATGTCTGATGTATTGGAAGTAAAGTCGACCACTTTCAGGGAACTATAGTCTGTAGTCTTGGTATGCATGTATCAGTAATGTTTCCTAACGTGGGTACAATGGCAGTTTAACTCTGTACAATATCATTTAAAACCCGCCTGATTTATTTGATCCATTAGTATGTGCACGTATAGCATATATGCCGACTCTATTTCTTACTAAAATACCGTGTTCCCCGTTTCACTTCTTCCGTATCAATCCCTTATGTATACGTATGTGTGTTGTAGTTTATTTAACATGTTTTAACAACACAGGAAGTTAAAGAATAAAGACGTCGATGAAGACAGTGTCCTGAGCGAAATTCAACACCATTCGGGTCCAACAACGACCGTACAGTATCCTGTTTCACGATTAAACCGCATTGAATACATTTTTTGATGCATCAACGATAACCATGTCTTTGTTCAGATCGTCGAAGTCGTCCGCAATAAAGTATGTAACATCAGCGCGGCGGTGGGGTAGCCTCGTGGTTAAAGCGTCCGCTCGTCGCGCCTGGGTTCGATTCCCCAACCTGGGTACAATGTGTGCCGCCCATTTCTCGTGTTCCCCACCGTGATATTGCTGGAATATTGCTAAAAGCGGTGTAAACCGTATTCACTCACTCACTGTAACATCAGCAAATCTGGTATCTGGTACGAGAGAGGGACATACACCTCAGAGGGACAGTGGTCCTTGGGCTACGTTGAGGGATGACCCATGAGGCAGGAATCTGGAATGGCCGATGCATTGGGATGACTATGGGCGATGGGCCATTGGGCAGATTGGGCCAGCTGGGCCATTCGTGGACGAATTCCATGGACCATTCAGGAATGACCGGCCTTCTATTCTATTATTGACAAGATGGACAGGATGGAGAAAGCAGATTATAGGATGACTAATGAGGCAATTAAGATGGAATAATGGAATGACAACCAGGGCCATTGGTGATGCGGCGTTAGGATGACGTGGCGGGTAGGATGGACAATTCGGCTGATGATGATCAGCGATGGAATGACCATTGTGGGCAATTCTGGGAATGATCCACAATGAGCAGATGGTATGTGGGCGTTGGATGGACAGAGGCCCCCCAGCAATGATGTGTGACCATTCTTGGGCACAGTGGAATGAGACAGATTTGAGTGCCAGACTTGAGCCAGACCCAATGGGGCCGATTCTGAAGGCTGACCCAGCTGGAGCCATTGGAGTAGCCCCATGAGGCATGATGAACCATTCCAGGATGACAGAAAATGGGCAGATCGGCCCATTTGGCGGGTTAGATGAACCATTTGGATGGGCTTGTGGAATGACAAATGGGAAGCGGCAGAGCCAGAGCTGATGGCGTTCGACCGAGCAGCCGGCGGGCCAGCGATCATGGGTGAGGCTGACCGTGGGCGTGGAGCCTGGCGTGGGCGGGTGGATGACTGGCCTGGGCAGGTGGGAATGGCAATGACGGGCGGAATGAGCTGGCTGGACGGGTGAATGTGAGGCATTGGATGAACAATGAAGCATTGAGATGGACATTGATGGGTCAAGGCGTGCCAATGGCCGAGAATTTGAAGTGGAGCAATGTGCCGAATTTGGACGGCCTGTGGTGACCAGGGTGAGCAGTCGGCAGGTGGGATGGCCTGGCCGGACGAGGTGGGCAACGGCCTGGTGGTGTGGACATGCGATTTGAGTGACTAATAGGCAATTCAGTGAACGGAAATGCATGCGGGTGGTGGGCTCAAATAATGATAGATGATGATGATGATGATGATGACCGGTGATGATGATGTTGTTGATGAATTCTGATGATGATGATGTCCCTGATTCCCATTTGGTGAGTCCCCAGTTGTTGATGCAGTGCAGTCCCACGTTGGGTGTGAGTTTT